GTAAAACCCAAAATCTGCAACTATATAGGCTTAGGAAAATACGCCTCAATCTTTCAGGCAGAGACTTACGCCTTAATTAGATGTCTGGAAGTAATCCTAAGCCTCAACTACATCAATCAGAACATATACATTTATTCGGACAGTCAAGCTGCTCTACTAGCACTTAACTCGTACGAAATCCGTTCTAAACTTATTAGAAACTGTATCCTGCTACTAAATGAAGTAGGAAGCAGAAATAATATTATACTGAGATGGGTCCCCGGGCATTCAAATATTGAAGGCAATGAGAATGCCGACCATCTGGCAAAGTTAGGGGCAAAAACCGTCCAACTGGGCCCCGAACCCTTCTGTGGTGTGCCTCGTTGCCTAAAACTGGGACATCTCAAATTAATAACCAAACGAGAAGCCCGATATAAGGTCTTTTGAATGTATTAATCCTGGCATTTCTTGCCAGTGATTCAGTGCTTCTCGACCAAATACTCCAATAGATTACTGCAATTGAGTAAAAACAACATATGCATGATGACTAGGGCCCTCACAGGACACTGCAAATTGAACAAGCATATGGCTAAGCTAGGCCTATGCACGACAAGTATCTGCAGATTCTGCCAAACTGAAGAGGAAACGCCGCTTCACATCCTATGTGGTTGTAGCCATCATGCATAAACGAAATATCTCCTTTGGAAAGTTTACACTCTTTCCCGAGGAGATAAAAACGATCGCTCCTAAGAATATCCTTCAATTCTTGTCCCTGACGGGTCTAGGTAGCGAACTCTGAAAAGGGCGAGCACAATAGATCTATGTAGGTCGCAGTGCTACAGGTGCTACACATCTGACAATAGCCCAAACAACCCAATAAAAAAAAAAAAAAAAAAGCACCGATTAGCTATCTCTAAGATGTCTACAATGTTTGTGACACGCCTTAATGTAATGACAACAAGACATGAATATTCTTTTGTTTTGCCACTGAAAACTCGACACGCTCGTTCCGTGTAACGCAGGACTTTCATTAAAGTCACGACGCACGGCTTATGGCTAGCACTCCAGGCACGTTCAGTCACATACAATCTTATTGTGGGTTTGCCTCGTATCACAGTGATGTCGTCTGTATTTGAAAGGCACTATTTCAAGAGGTGAATGAGCGTTGAATCATAATCAAGTAGAGGGAGTAGACACACTTGGCGCGAATATTACTCATATGTTGCTGCAATTGTATACCTATTAAAAATATATATTTTTAAATATCATAAAAATAAGATATCTGTAAAGAATAAATGTAAAATAAAGACCTTTTTATTCATATGACTTACTAATAAGCCAATAAGAAATATAATAATATATCATTACAGCTGATATCATGAACATACGAATAAATATACAAAACGGTATAACGAAATTTAAAATGAAAGTACTACCTACCTACTTAGAAATAATAAATGTGGTCAATTTATTTAAGTAAATAAATTCACAAAATGAAGGTATCCGTCGACAACCAGGCAATTTAATTTCCTATAATGACAGCATAAACATGTAATTTGTTGATCAAACCCTTCCATACACCTATCAATCAAGTCGTATCTTTGACACGATCGCGCAACGGAAGATGCTAATTGACTTGTTTCACTTACAAAATGTCATCAATTTTAGCAATATTCATTAAGGTCTTTATTCTTTATTGTCTTGAATATTGATAGACAGTCCTATATCCTGTAGTGTCCTCCAGTACAATATTAAGGAATTTATTAGGATTATCATCTTATCTGTGGTACTAGCAACTCGCCCCGGTTTCGCATGGGCCAAATATTTATTGTAAAAAGATACTTTATCTCCATCAAATTTGCATTTAACTATTTATTTTTATAAGAATGCATTGTCAATTGGTCAGTAAGATTCCTCTTTCATTAAAACTAAAATATCTCTAAAATTGTTCGCTGAAACCAAATGATGCTAAGGAGAATTTTGTTCAAAATTAAATATTTATAATAAATAACGTATAAAGTCATGTTTAATAATGCGTCAATTTAGAAGAAATTTGATTAAAAAAGTTACAGTGAGTTAACCTTAATAGATAGACATATGTTGTAGAGTTTTTTGCGTAACTTTAAACCGTTTACGCAGCCAGAAAGCACTCAAAATGAACATTTTTTGCCACATTTTTCAATGTTGCTTCGCTTCTATTGGTTGTAGCGTGAAGTTATATAGTACTCGGGGATAATATACCTTTCTAACAGAACTTATTACCCCGAACAAAGATATATACAAACTTTATAATATACTAGCTGGACTCGCGACTTCGTCCGCGTGGAATATAACTTTATTTTTCTAAAAAAAAAGTTGCCCAAGTTACTGCTTATTACATCAGCTACCTGCCAATAAAAGTCCCGTCAAAATCGGTCCAACCATTTCAGAGATTAGCCGGAATAAATAGATAGACAGACAAAAATGTTATTTTGGTGTATATACCGTAATTATATTTATATCCATGTAGAAAAGAACGGTTATTTCAATATTATTGGAAGCGACGCGTTCCGTACCTCAAAACAAAATTATTAAAATAATGCTTTCGTCTCTGTGTGCGGTATTATGATGGTTTTTAAAACTTATAACCGGCGCAACGGACTGTCTGCACTAGGGTTTATGATTTCTCGAGCTTTTCAATTTCTCGGGTCTCGAGAATTCTCGAGGTTAATTTCTCGGGTCTTCTCGGGTTGTCGAGAAATTTACATTTACATATGTTTGGTTTATTTTTTGTTCCAATAACGTCAAATACTCAGTGGTTTCATTTTAGACGAAAACCACTGCATTTTTTGTTAAATATTAAATATAAAATTTAACTATAAAATTAATTATAAAACTTTTATTGAGTAGCTATATTTAAAAACATTATACATATTATGAATAAGCAAATTTTTATTTAAATACTGAAATATATTATATTAGGTTCTTACATATGAAATTAGCGTTTTGTCGTACTGGCCACTTTGGTTATAAATTTCAATTTCAAATTTATACGGCTATTCACTCATGCATTTGTTTTTCGAAAACCGTAATACATGTGCTTGGTTTTTTCTTTGGATCACTCAGCTTACAAAATGGAAAACTTAAAATATCGCGTCATTTACAAGTACAAGTACGAGTTCCGCCATGGCACTAGTGCTGCAGAAACGGCTCGAAGGATTAATGATGTGTATGGTGGTGGTGTCGCAAAAGAAAACACAATGCATTATTGGTTGCAACGTTTTCGTTCTGGAAATTTCGACCTGCAAAACAATCCCCGTGGGCGGCTGGAGTCCAAGGTTGGTAATTATGATAGCAGATCCATCACAAACCATGTCAGAGTTAGTTTCAGGTTGCGGTGTTAGTGACAAAACTGTATTAATCCACTTGTAGCAAATTGGGAGGGCGAAAAAGCTTAAAAGGTGGGTCCCTCATGAATTGAATAGACAATTCGCGTTTCGATCGACAAACGCGCATAGACTGCTGCGTTACATTAGTCAACCGGCATAATAATAAAGGGATTTTAAATCGAATCATTACCTGTGATGATGTGGATCTTGTATGATAATTGGAAACGCTCATCGCAATGGCTGAACCCTGGCAAACCAACCAAATCCTACCCCAAGCGAAAATTGACCCAAAAAAAGTTACTTGCGAGAACTTTCCTAAATCTGGACAGATGATTACGGCAGATGTGTGTTGTCAGCAATTGAGAAACCATAATGGAAAAGCTAGCTGCTAAACAACCGAGGCTGGTCAATCGCCGTAGGCTACTGCACTCAGGCAACGCTAGACCACACAGCTGACATTTACCAAATTAGAAGAGATTCAGTTGTAATGTCTAAGACTTTACAATTGCTCCCCGGATCTTGCTCCAACAGATTACCATTTTTTTCGAAATTTGGATAACTGATTGGGAAAAAATTCAAATCCGATGGGGCAGTCCAAAGTCCAAAGATTTTATTGATATGTCCAAATGTTCCCTTTCAAATGTTTTTTTCAGTAAAGGGATCAATGAAGTACCTACGATATGGCAAAAGTGCATAAATAGCAATGGTACACGAATAATTTTATGGCAAATAAAGGTATTTACCTCTCCCGACGTTTCGACTAGGTTGCACTAGCCGTGGTCACGAGCTGACTGGATTCCACGCAGATGATAATTTTAAGCCATCCTCTCTGTTGAAATTGGGATGTTTTTTTAATTTCAATCGTCTCCCGGACCATTCGTGGGTAATAGTGGCGATCAGTAGAGAGGACCTTAGGCGCATGTAGTTCAATCCAGTGATTTGTTCCAGCGTTCAGTAGATGATCGGCAATCGCTGATTTGTGTGGTTGTCAATTTTTAACCGCTGCTATGTGCTCTTTGACTCTCTCGGCTATTGATCGTTTTATTTGGCCAATATAAGAGCTACCACAACTACAGTCAATTTTGTAGACACCTGGAGCTTCGTAAGGTAGCTTATCCTTATCCTTTACGTAAATTGTTCGTTACTTTTGAGGGCGGATAATATACAGTCTTAATGGAGTATTTATTTAGTGCTGTTCCAATTTTGTCCGTTATTCCTCTTAAGTAAGTTATTACGCTAATTAATTTATCTTCTACTCATTATGTAACCGTTTCTCTTGAACTTTCTCTTGACCGTACTTCTTGAACGTGAGATAGTTCTTGTTCCCAAATTCAGGGGCACAGAGATCTTGCGCTCTGTTTGTGAGAGTAGTGACGACTGATTGTAAATGTCGTGGGTGATGATGTGAGGAGGCATGTAGGTATCTATCTGTGTGTGTTGGTTTCCGGTATACTGTGTCTGTAACCGAGCCATCAGATCTCACCATAACTAGGATGTCCAGGAAGGCCAAGGACCTATCTTTCTCCAATTCCATTGTAAATTTGGTTGTAGAATGTGTGGAATTTAGGTATTTTAGGTATTCGTCTGCTTGTTATTGCGTACCATTAAATATGCAAAAAACATCATCTACATATCTTTTCCACAGGCTAATTTCTAATGGTCTGAGAGCAAGAATCTTTGTTTCAATGTGCTCCATCCAAATATTAGTACTAATGGTACCACTGGGCTCCCCATTGCAATGCCATCTATTTGAAGGTAGTATTCACCTTGGTACAGAAAATAGCCTGCATCTAAGCAATGTTTCAGAAATACACTATACTGTGACGGCAGGTCTTTCTCCAATAGCCTATCCTTGACCACCTCCATGCACTCATTCACTGGAACATTGGTGAATAATGATTCGACGTCAAAACTCACCATTATCTCTGTAGGTTCAAGTTTTGTGCTTTTTAGTGTCCGTGAAATGGTGAGAATTTTTCAGAAAAGAGGATGACTTACCCACTAGTGGCTGCAGGATCTTCGCAACATGTTTAGCCAGATCATAAGTTGGTGAATTGATCTGACTAACTATTGGTCGAAGAGGGGCGTTCTTTTTGTGTATTTTGGGTAAGCCATATAATTTTTTTGGGTGTATATGTTTGGCCCTATAAAGACTGTTATACTCCTCTTCAGTGAAAATGTCACGGTATTCTTGAATAAGTGTTTCTGTTCGACGTGTCACTCTGGCCTGTAGGATACACGTTTGTATACACTAGTATCTGATAATAGAACACGTATCTTACTATCATAATCAGAAGTGTTCATTACTACGGTAGCATTACCCTTGTCGGCCTTGTGTACCAGGATATTCTCATTTTCACGAATACATTTCAGTGCATATCGTTCTTCGGCTGTAACGTTACTTTTTGGCAGCTTTGTCTTCCTTAAGATATTTGTTACGTCCTGTCTAGTGATTCCGCGTCATTATATGGTATTTTATTTCGGTTGATAGCTTCTTAAGACCCGGTTAATAATTTAAATAATGTATATTAAACACGAAAGTTTAAAATTAACAATGGTACATAGTTTGATTAAATAAACATGTTATATTTTGAAAAAAAATACTTCAGGTTACTTCCTTACAAAACACCACTTTCATATGTTAGGACCTAATATTATTCAGACTTATATTTATAATGACAGCACCATTTTTGGCTGGTTATTTAGAAAAAATCTACCTTAAACTTGTAAACAAAAATAGTTTCTGTAAAACAAAAAAAAAAATACATGAAAGAAAACAATATCTTGTATTATTGCGCCGCCACGCAATACAACAAACGTCAATTTAATTTCTATATAGGTACTTAATTTCTCGAGTTCTCGACTTTTCTCGAGTTTGATTTCCCGGGAACAGAACCCAAGGATTTCCCGGGAATTCTCGACCCGAGAATTCCCGGGAATGAACCCTAGTCTGCACCCAGTTGTAAGCGATACCGCATGTCTCAGTGTAATTTTATTTTTATAAAATTTGTGTGTCGAAATAAATCCAATGCTGTAAAAGTCTTTGTTTTGCCATTAAAAAGTGACCTACCATATTCTAAACCATACAAACAGACATTCCAATTTTATTTATATGTATAGATGTATAGATAAAAAGGTATTATGTAGAAATCTTAGTATTAATAGTTATGTATGTGTGTACATTACGTACAAACAACATATATGAATGTACATACTCTATTCTTAGCATTACATTTTAAAACTATGCAATAGTAACACTGGTAGTATCTAGGCCACATTATTCGATTATTTTTGTTAAATACCCGGGCGAAACAGGAATTCCATTCCTGTTTCGCCCGGGTAAATAATCTTTATTCCGCTAGTCTTAATTAAAATTTAAAAAATAAATCAATTTTTAAGTAAAATAGTTACGTTACAAACACTGTTCTACAATTTTTACAAATCTCATTTTGTATAATTATTTCTGTTTTATCTACTACAAACAAACCAGCCTTTTTACCGATTCAAGTTTTGTGTATTCTATCACTCCGAACTTTTTTGATGGAAACAAAGGTTTTGAAGTTGATAAAAGAAATTAAAATGTATACCTACTACTACTAGGATATACATATCATATTGGCATTATTTTGGAATAGAGATAAAATTATTTTTAAGTACATACATTATATGGATTTTAGCCGATCGTAGCGATCAAAGGACTTGATGGATTTTGATGAATGAGGAGCATATATTTTTTCTCATATCATCCAGAATGTCTTGTATAAATTTGCCGTCTACTTAAAATGTTCCTATGCGTGTATTGTTGAATATAATAAATATAATATGCAAGAAAAACATAAAACACAAACCAAATTTGGATTCTTCAGCATTACAATAGCTAAATAACAATTATTTACTCTATTGCACCAGATATATTACAGGAATCATAATTTATAGGTTAAAAGAGTACAAAAGGCGGTCTTATGACGAATATAATCTCTTTCAGATAACCTATGGGTAAACGACAAACGGTGGTACCGTTTGTCGTTTGTTTATCGTTTACCCAGCGGTAGCGCTAGAAGAAAATAGTAAAAGAAATACTAATAATAATAATGGCAATAACATTACAAACTAATAACAATGAGCAACACACATTACATACATACAACAGTTCATCTTAATTCTTAATAATATTATAATCGTGAAAGTTTGTAAGTACGGATGTTTGTGACTCTCTCACGCAAAAACTACTTACTGAACGGATTTTGATGAAACTTTAAAGTATATACTTAACTTAATATGTAGCTTATGCATCAGAATAACACATATATGTTTACATTGAAATTGTGAAACCGCGGGCACAGCTAGATTGATTGTGTAAGGTCTCGTACTTATTGGACGTAGTTTTATTTTCATTATGTTCCCATTTACGGATTTTAATCATCGATCACTTTTACAAATATGTACACTTATAATCCTATCAAAAATATGTGAGGGAGTAATTTATCAGATGTGCCTATTACATATTCACTGATACATGACACTGATGCTATCAACATTTTGCGCTTTGAATATCAAAATTTCGTAGCTTAAAACGGCTGGCCGAAATATAACTGTAAATACGAGTTCCGTGGTAATATTGTTGTCATTGTGTCACTGTTCACCGTTCTAGAGTGCTAAAATGTATAAAATTTGTAAATTTGTTAATAAATGATATGGAAATTGATAGATAATTTAAGCGGTTCTGATGACCAATAGACCATGAATCCGGTTATTTTAGGCAAGTTTACGCACTATATTGTGTTGATTAATAGATTTAATATAAAAAGCCTTGTAATAATAAGTATTTATGTCTTTTTATATAACAATTTTATTGATCATTCCTGTATAAGTAAGAGACAAAATTATTTACACGTCACTTAGTTTACAATACTATTTAGAATATAAAGTCTAAATATGATATCGCAGTTAATTATTAATAGGTATGTTTATATTTAGTCTCTTGTAGTTCTAGATAGTTCTTGTAATTTGATATATCTACGTATATCAAAATCTGTAAGGCTGTCTCTACTTACAATTATGAGTAATTATTAAGAGACGAACTTTGCAATTGTATCAGCACGGTTAATATATCTATATATGATACAAGGGTCAAACGTGTAGCAGTATACATCTTAAATAAACTGACTTTTAAAAAAAAAATGTATACCATTGAGTTTCTTGCCAGTTCTTCTCAATTGGATCTATATACAGAACTGGACGGTAGGGAAAATATTAAAATTACAATGTAAAAAACTTGACATTCATAAGCGGTCAATATATTCTAAATGAATAAATGATTTTTGAATTTGAATTGAAATTTTCATGAATTATGTTCATATCGATCATATGCGAACCTCCGATTTCTGAAATAGTTATTGCCATTTCGATTCTGCGAAAATTAAATGAATCTGCAACCATAAGAAGTAATACGGTGTGCTAAACCTCTTGACCACCGAGGCTACCGATAGTTCGAAATGTTTGTATATATCTATTAATAAATATTTTTGTAACATATTGGGCTGCAGATTTATGCACAAAGTCACTCAATTGGGTATGCGAAACCTTTCTTCAAAAGGAATTTAATAGTATGTTGAAAGGATTGGCAGTAATTGGTATGAGATTTTTGGTAGATATTATGAAAATATCTGAATAGTGATAGAGTGTTCGACATAATTCTCCCACAACCCTGCCACCATAGAAATACAGGGTGTCTGACGGCAGATTTATGTTTTAATATTTTAAAAAATAATAAACGTTGCGGGGTGATGGCGGTATCTTTGGAATCAGCGATTGTGCAGATTCGTTATTGGCAATTTTCGCGATTCGTATGTCGCAGTGGTCAATTGAGCATCGCGCGTTCTCCATCGAGGCATTTTTCAAAGTAACGATTCGTACGTAATCGTTCGTTGATAAGTTTGTTCACACTTCAATATTCAACAGATAAGTGATGGATCGAGTGAAAATTTAATTCGTTACTTTGTGAAGAGGCTCCGCACAAGTGCTTCGGCTATGAACAATCCACGACGAGGGCCCAGTCGAACATCAAGAACTTCCGAAAACATAAAACTGGTTGAAAACAGTTTACGTGAAAATCTACGACTTTCGGTACGGAAAAGAGCAGCCTCACTGCGACATCCAATAGAGATTATCCATAAAATTAAAAAAAAGGATCTTAAGTTTCATCTATTTAATATTGAAATACTTCATGAGCTAAAAGAAAGTGACTTGTTACAGTTGAAACAATGTTACAGCTTTTTCGAACTGTGAAAACCATTTTTTGATGTGACGAGGCTTTTCCCATCTAAACGGTCACGTTAATAAGCAATAGTGCAGTTACTGGTCTCGAAAAGTCCAAAATCCTCGACTGAAACAACATAAACCTTTGCATTGCCCCAAGGTAACTGCTTGGTGGGCCTTATCCTCGAATTTTTTTTTCGAAAAAGCTCGGGGCCTGGTGACGAATGTCAATTGTGAGAATTATTGCAGATTCCTTTTTACCAAACCTGGGAGCTCATCCATCGTTCTTAAGTTAACACGTAAACGTGGTTCCAACAGAATGGTGCGATGGTACACACGGCTAGAACTTCGAATGATTTGCTTTGGGAATCTTTCTTTCAGTCGCTTTGGGGATATCCCGGGGCCACCGAGATCGCCCAATATAAACCCAATAATTTTTTTTTATGAGACTACCTCATAGATGGAAGGACCTTTACAAGAAAAATTCCCACTCTTTAGTGAATTTAAAAGAAAATGTTCAACGAGAAAGAAGAAGAATTGAACCAAGTTTACTGCAACGTGTGGTGAGGAACACAAGGCTCTGTTTTGAACAGTATGTGCAGTTCGATGGAGGATATTTTGATGAGTGTGTCTTTATAAAATGAAATCAGCATAATTATTCTATTGCTTAATATTAAATTTATAACAATATATCAAATTGTTTCATTTATATTGAATTTTGAAAATATAAATCTGCCACCAGACATATAAAGATAGTTGTAGTCAATTAGTCGTTATTGACGAAGAATGAATTTGTATACTACTGTAATTTCTTAATTACCTACACAAAAGCTTATTGCACAGACACTCGTGCATAAAAGACAAATAAAATGATAATTTAATTCAAAGTTTGATAATGATCTTTGTTAGGTCAGTCGTAAAGAGGGCAATGCGCCTTAGAAAGAGTTACTCAACTCTAAGTAAAACATGTTCTGAATTTGTTGCCGTTTCTTTTTATATTAGTTGCTTAAATGCTTATTTATTTGGTAGTTTTAGATCTATTTTCTTTAGAATAAAGCGCGAATTATCATTATTCAAATAGAATTAATCGGTGGTTTACTTAAATCGTCATGTGTTTTTATTTCACCTTCTGCTACGAAATTTTATTTATATGACTTGATGAAAAATATACCATTATTATATTTGTTTTTAACCAATGACAATCATATCTGTGATATTATGTAAATATTTTTATTACATATTGCGTTATATTAGTATCATACTAAATATTAGGCACATTGGTTGAAATTAAAAGTTTAATCCATTAAATTTAGAATTAGTACTGTTCTATTGTTTCTTGGCAACAGTACGACAATTGTATATAATTTATACTAACATATTGTTTAACTATGTGTGATTATCACATCACCACCAATAACCATAAAGAATAAATTATATTTACTGCTTTATTATACACTGAATATTTCCATTACGAAATATTTTTTTATAAATACATATACATATTTTATATATTTTGGGACACCTGCAAGTAATCCCTTCTTCTTACCCTTACTTAACTCTGTCTGTCTGTCTCGCTTTCACGCCAAAACTACTGAACCGATGTAAATTAATTTTGGTACACATATAGTCTAGAATCTAAGAAATGACATAGGTTACTTTTTATCTGAAAAATGGTTTGTAAGGGGTTCAAAGGGGAGATGAAAGGTTATATGGAAGTATCGACAATTTACGCAGACGAAGTCGCGAGCACATCTAGTATAATATAATGATATGTATAGAATAACAAGATCAACACGATGAAAGTATATACATAGTATATATTAACATAATACGTAGATAACTCTCAAACCTATGCTAAATATCATACTCATGAAAATTACATAAGTGACATCTTTATTTTATAGTAGTGAGTAAAATTACAATAAAGATTATGTACATTTTTTACATTTATTATTATATTATATATCTATTACAACTTAAGTTACATTTTATTTAAAACTTAAAAACCTCGACGTTTTCATTTAAATTATTTTCTGGTATGTCATCAACATGTATAATCTTTTGGACATTCTCATTAAATGTTACCATAGACTTTTTTCCTTGTATTTTCGTTTCACCAAATTCATCTTCATCAGAAATATCGACATCTGCATCTTTTAGTTTGTCTTGAACTACAATGGCGGATACAGGATCTGGTAAAGGCATATCGATAATAGTATCCACAGGAACATCATTATTTTGCACACTAGCAGAACTTTGCTTAGGCTCTACATGTAGTTCTACAAAAGGAGGAGCATCAATCATTTCTTGAAGTCTCCTTTCGCTTCTCTTTAGATCTTCTAAATTTATTCTAGGTTGTGGTCGACTTTCTGGTTTAGGTAACTGACTGAGAGAATCATTGCGTGATACTATACTATCTTCATCGTCAAATTGTTTATAATTTCGGTCTTTCCTCCTGTAGACAATAAGATAAATTAAATTTGCTTACGGACATATGATACACGTAATTTAGATAACGGTTCGCTTACCATTTTAGGAAGAACCATACAGCAATGGCTACAATTAGTATGAAGAGTAATGAACTGAGAACAATTGTAGCGACTAGCAAGCCCACATCACGTGTTGGAGCGGTGCATGTCTCGCGACCTTCCAGATAATCTTCCAGACGTATGGTATCCGTTATAGTGATGGCAGTTATTGCGCTATTTCCTATATCTCTGAAATATAAGTATTTTTTGTTAAAAATAATTATAGTATTATTAGACAATAAAAAAATATGAAACAGTTAAAGGATAATACGGTGATTTAATAGTAATAAATAAATAAATAAAATAAGATCTCTTGTATTGAATGTATTTATTTGTTTCTGTAATAGAATAAAACTATTTAAAGTATAACTTTTTATTGTATAATATATTGAATTGATTTAATATTTTGTAAACATTAACATTGCCTATGGTAATTTAAAAAACTGGTGTCAAATTTAAAAATAAATTTAAGAAATGAGTCGAAAATGAACGACTAGATTTATTATTAATAAAAAATAATATACGAGGGTAAAAACCCTTACTACTCTATTTTTACCAAATGCTAATTGTTTGCTTGTTAGAAAGGTAGTAAAAATTAATGAAATAATTAGATGTTTGAACAGACGTCTTTTATTGCAGAGCGCAGTGACAGAAGTATTATAAAATATAAATTATATAAAAAACATCATATTTTGAATATGGATAAAAAGAATACAAAAACTGCCAGTGACTCTCATTGTAGGTCTAACACTCCCCCGCTGAGTGATGAGAACACTCTGTATAAGTAAAATGATATCAAAACTTAAAACTGTACACAATAAAACTAAACACTATACACTAAAGCCTGACACCAATAATATATACATAGATCACTAACAAATTCCTATATACAATACCTAACCTAAGACAATATACAGATAGCTAACCTAAACCTAATGAATGGGTACATTTACAGTGTTTTAGTTTCATTAAAGGTTTCGTTAAAATGTCAGGGATCATGTCAGTAGTAGGTATGTATTTGAGAATGAGATTATGAGATGTTAGTGAATCTCGAATGAAGTGGTGTTTAATGTCTACATATATGCTTTGTGCGTGCATGATACGTGTAGTTGTGTGCTAGTTTTATGGAGCTTTGATTATCAGTATGAATGACGATTGGATGAGTGACGGCGAATATTTCACCTATGAGGGTTTTGAAGTAAATTGCCTCTTTGCAAGCTTCTGCTAAAGCCATATACTCGGCTTCAGTAGTAGAAAGCGCGACTGTGCGCTGCTTGCGTGCTTCCCATGATATAGGGGCTCCGCTTATCATGTAGACAAATCCAGTAAAAGAGCGTCTGTCTACAAGATTGTTGCCGTAATCCGCGTCTACGTAACCTGTAGGGTATGTTTGGCCGTTACGTTTATATCGAAGTTGTAAGTCTTTCGTGCCTTTGAGATACCTAAGAACACGTTTAGCGGCTTTCCAGTGTACTCCCCCGTAATGTGCATTGAACTGGGATAGGTACGAGACTGTGTGTGAAATGTCGGGTCTAGTACCAATAGTAATGTACATTAAAGAGCCAATGAGTTCTTGGTACGGTAACGTCAATATTTTCGTCTCCTGTTTCAGGTGTTAACAATTTTAGGCCTGGCTCCAATGGTGTTGTAGCTGTAAGAGCGTCATTCATATTGAATTTATGTATGAGTTTCTCGATGTATTTCGTTTGATCGAGAGTGATAACGCCGGAACTTTGTATTACTCTCATACCTAGACAGTCCTTGAGTGGACCAAGATCTTTGATGGTGAACTGCTGTTTCAGTTGGTTTTTAAATTCGTTTTTCATCCTGTCATTTGTACATAGAATAAAAAGTCATCAACAAATACAGCAACCACAAGGAAATCATTATCCTCTCGTTTGTAATATATACAGTGTTCGTTGACTGTTTGCGTAAGGGAGAGATTTTTCATTGCTTCAGAAACTTTTATGTTCCATTGGCGTGGCGCTTGTTTAAGTCCATAAAGGGATTTTTTTAATAAACAAACTTTCTCCTTTTCTTTTGAAAAGCCTTCTGGTTGTTCCATGTATATTTCCTCTTCGAGATCTCCATTCAAAAAAGCAGTTTCCACATCTAGGTGGTCTAAAATAAGATCGTGTTGTACAGCAAATGCCAGTAATAGTCGTATTGACGATAATCTAGCGACTGGTGAGAAGGTTTCACCGTAGTCTACTCCTGCTACTTGAGTAAATCCTTTCGCTACTAGTCTGGCCTTATATTTGACTATTTGGCCATTTGTATCCTTTTTTAGTTTGAAGACCCATTTGCATTTAGTTGTCTTTCTGTCTGTCGGTCTGTCAACTAAAATCCATGTTCCGTGATTATTTAGTGAATTATATTCAGCAATCATAGCTTCTAGCCATTATTCTTTTTGTGGATGATCTAATACTTCTTTGTAGGTCTCTGGTTCTGAATCTGAAGTGAGGTATACGGTATTATGATATCTCTCAGGGGTATGTCTGTCTCTAAGAGGATATCTCCTTTCGTAAGACTGTTCCATTGAGATTTCAGATTCGACAGATACTTCTGGAGTTTTAGATTCTTCAGTGGCTGTTGGCTGTGCAGAGGTGAAAGGTTCAGGTTCTGTATGAGGATGTTCACAGACTGGACTTTCCTGTTTTGCTGTAGACTGAATATGCTGAACCGAATTATAAAAAGGTACAAGCATATCTGGCTGCTGAGATGAGGATGGAACTTGGTCATTATCAGGATGTTAATAAAATTTATCCTCGACAAAGACAACATCTCTAGAAATTATAATTTTTCTAGGATTTAGGGGATCTACAAGACGATAGCCTTTGCTTTCTGTAACATATCCTATAAAAATACAAGATTGAGTTTTAGATTCCAGTTTTGTCCGTTTTTCTTTAGGAATGAGAATGTGGGCTTCACAACCAAATATTCTTAAGTGAGAAAGGTTAATTTTTGTACCTGTCCACAATTCTTCAGGAATCTTGTTATTTAAGGCTTGTGTAGGCGAACGGTTCTTGAGATAAATGGCTGTATTTACAGCTTCTCCCCAGTGTGCTTTTGGCAGCTTGGAATCTTCAAGCATAGATCTCGCTTTTTCGATGATGGTTCTATTCGCACGTTCAGAGACTCCATTTTGCTGAGGCGTATACGGGACTGTGGTTTGGTGCACAATACCGTTTTCCTTCAGAAAGATGCTCATTTCATGATTCACGTATTCGCGACCGTTATCTGTGCGTAGAATTTTTATTTTGTGACCTGTTTATTTTCTACCAAATGTTTGAACTCTACAAACTTAGTATAAACTTCGTTTTCGATTTTAAAAAATATCCAAAAGTTTTTCTACTAAAGTCGTCTATAAAAGTAAGTAAATATAGGGCTCCACCCCATGAGTGTGTACTCATTGGTCCACATAAGTCAGAATGGACTAACTGCAGTAATTCACTCGACTTACTAAATGAGTTCGGAAATGGTCTTTTTGTTAATTTCCCCTGTAAGCACGGTATGCAGGTTTCATTAAACCTATCAGAAAACTCTATGCCTACTTTTCTATTTTTAAGAATATTTAAGGATTTGACATTTAAATGTCCAAGACGTCGATGCCATAGTAACGCTGCTTGTTTACTATTTATTAAATTTGTCTGACAGGGCATATCAAGTTTATATAAATTATTATAATTAGAAGCTGTTGCTACTATATGTCCTGATACTTTACAATCCTGTCGACGTAAAATTGTTGCACCACGCTTGGAGAATACAGTAACTAAGTCATTACTTACTAAACTGCTGACTGACAATAAATTCGCCGCTAAGTTTGGAACATATAACACATTCGAAATAGAATTAAGATCATTAGATAGAGGCAAACTGACAGTACCTGTGTGAAGGCACAAGGAATGTGATCGTTGTTGGCAGTATAGACTGGGTTCGAAATTGTGGACATTTCCTGGAAGCAGTTTTTGTTGTTGCATATATGTGAAGTTGCTCCGGAGTCCAGTAACCACGAAACCTTGGAATGGGAACCTGAGGGATGAGCGTGCAATGACGAAGAAGATGAAAGTGTTATATCTGTAATTGTATTAATATGTGATGTAATTACATTGTTTTGATTTTTAATATGTTGTTTGCGTTTTCTACAATTAGATATAACGTGACCGAATTTCTTACAAAACTTGCACTGTAATTTTGACGTTTTCTTTGACATCTGTGACATCAGGGCATTTGTTGAGGATTCGCCAGCTCTTGTACGCTTCTGGTCTTCTTTGAGAAGCATTGTAGCGACTGAATCTGACGTGATCCGTGCTCCCGAATGTTCTAGTGCCATGATTAGGGGTTTGTATTCCTCTGGTAAGCCAGCGAGCATGATGACCCCTATGAATTCGTCTTCAAGTTCTGCATTTATTTCGTGTAACTTTTCCTGTACATCCCGAATAGTATTTATGTAGGTCTCCATATCGCCTGTTAGTTTGGTATTAAAAAGCTGTCTTAACAAGCTTAATCGCCTATCTAGACCTTTATCTGGATATTGAAGTTGCAGCTTTCCCCACGTTTCTTGTGCAGTTCTTCCCGATTTTACTGTAGGGTAAATGCGGGGCGGAACGCTGAGGCAGAAGTTAGCGCGAGTTTGTTCGTCTAGTCTTTGAAAATCTGACCTCTGTCTGGCGAATTCCGCTGGTGACTCGACGCAGTTCCATAATCCACAGCCGATTAGGAACATTTTCATGCCGAAGCTCCATGATGCGAAATTGCTACGTCCTTCCAACTTGGGGATCGGCGGGATTCCACTTGCAGAAAATGGGTATCCCGATGCACTGGTGGCCGGTCCGCGTTGAGATTCCATAGATTGAGTATTAGGTTGAAGCATTTTTGCCCATAACCAGTAAAAATTAATGAAATAATTAGATGTTTGAACAGACGTCTTTTATTGCAGAGCGCAGTGACAGAAGTATTATAAAATATAAATTATATAAAAAACATCATATTTTGAATATGGATAAAAATAATACAAAATCTGCCAGTGACTCTCATTGTAGGTCTACCAAAGGTGTATATATTTAAGTAAAATTTTACTGAAATATATCTGAATTATAAAAGAAAATATTTTCTCTCCGATAAAAGGCAATATCTCTGACGTTTCCCTCTGTAATATTAGATATACTAGTCATAGGCTAGCTACAGGTATTGTTTATTAATGTCCTTATGATGAACGTAAAATTTCATAAACAAAATTATTATGATTGATTCTAATTATATTTGGAATTATTTACTTACTCAGTAAGACGATCTACTGAAATTGGTTCGTGTTGTATTACTCCATAAATATATAGTTGCAGTGATATCCCCGTATCGGCAATTTCTCGTTTCATTCTTAGTTCTTCTTCGTTATTCTCGTCTTGTGAATCATTATACACAACACTAGACCTTAAAACTTTGACATCGTAACCAAGTGCACTAGTTAAATTACTCAAGATGTATCGCTCGTCCTCCAAAAATGCATTTTTGACATTAATTATAGCTATATTGTCCACATCTAGCAGTTTTACCTGGAAATAAAATAAGAGAGCATTGCAAGTTTATTGTAACTTAAAGTTTTTTTTATTGTATATACATAAAAATATTAAGATATAACTTTATCCTAATATTTATATCTGTTTTCAAAACTAACTAATATATTGATTGAATACTATTGACCGAAAAACAGAGGACATAAATATATATTCATTTGCAAAAAAATTAGACCCAGGTTGGTTGTCTAGCAGTTTAGCACTTCTTTACTTTTGATGTTCGTAGATTCAATTCCTCACAATATGCAAGGCATTGTATGCATAAGTAAGAGATAAACAGGTGAATTAATCTGAACGAAATAATAATGTCACAGACAAACCTCATTAATAAAAAAATTGTGATGACTTTAATTTTGTTTTACGTGATTATTATTTTATACCGAGGTCTGAGCTCAGTTTCGTGGATAACTTTAAATAGAAAAGTTTTTTTATCACGTCATCAGCAGTGTATGTTCTCAGTCACACATTTTAAGAGTATAAACAGGTTTTTGAATCTCATCTCAAGTTTCGATCTTGAGTCCCAAAGTTTACTTGGTTGGATTCAATAATTTATAATAGCTACATTGGGATGTTACGAAGGATTTTAATATAATTGATTGACGGTCTCGGTGGTCTTGCGGTTTAGCATACCGCTTTACCTCCGATGGTTGCGGGTTCGATTCCTGAGATGGTATATGCATTTGTATTCATGAATATGATTGTTTCTGTTTTCTATTGTATATTATATTCACAAAATAACGTATCAAAGTATTTATATTAGCTGTCTAGTATCTATGGCACAAGCTCTGATTAACTTGGCATTGTTAGATGATGTTGCGTTAATTGCCCAGGGGTATTATTATTATTGATGATTGCAATGCAAAGCCATTTAAATAAATACTTATTCACGTTAAAACTCGAATGTTTTTACTGCAAGGAGCAGCATGTAATAGCTACGTGTTTTTCATTTTGTGTATTGAATGCTCATTATTTTAGTTCTACCTTCTACAACATAATCCATACTAATATATATATAATATTATAAATGAGACAGTGCCTCTATATGTCTCGTTGTTATCTTTTCTACTAAACGCCTAAACTGATCTTATTGAAATATGACATTAAGATAGATTGTATTACGAAGACGGGCATAGCACATATTTTAATCAAAAATGAAAGATGAAAGTGCAGATGAAGTCGAAGTTTGTTATATTTTATAGATGAGATAAAGGACCACGTAGTAACTTTGTTCAAATTGCATCTCGATAGCGTCTATATTGTCTAGTAAAAAATTAAGCGCTTTACTAATACGTTCTTATCTATTGTACTTACAATAAGCTGTAAAGAGCCAGTAAGTCCCAGCCCATGTTGGTCAGTAGCGTTGACTGTCAGTATGAGGTCAGTATCCAGTGGTTTTGCTACATGCACGACGCCGCTCCACGGTGACACCGCCAACTCAGGCGCCGAACTCCAGTACATCAGTGCTGCATTATCACCTATGTCTGCATCCGTCGCCTGTAAGTTAAATATACTTATATTTACTTACAACTTGAAATATCATGTTGTTACTTAATGCAAACGTGGTAACCATCTTCTATTGATTGATAGATATTATGAAAGTATATCAGAGAATATACCGAGACGCCAAGGGCCAAAAAAATCATGCAGTATTTTTTATAGTATTTGATGGTAAGTTCCGCGTATGGCACCCGCAACACCAAGGGAATTGCATTGCGTTGCCGGCCGTTTAAGAATGAAAAAGCTCTATTCTTTGAAGGTTTCAATATCGTTTGGGTTCGGAAATATTGCTGGAAAGTAATTCCACAGTTGCAAATATTGTTATAATTATACTATTATTATAACAATATTTGCAACTGCTATCTGGAATTTATTGAAATTATTTAAATTATATATTATTATGTATTGCTATTCCGGAGCATTAAGATATGATGCCTTTTATCTTGTAATTTCACTGCCTTATACCTACTTACTACCTACTACCTTTGAACCGAAACACATATTGCAAAGCAAGCTTCTTGATATCTAAAATACCACCTATTTTAGACCGAGATACACAGTAGTGTATCTCGGTACTATACAAGCATCTAATTAGTACTGTAACCTTTAGTGTTTTAAAGTTTAAAGATGGTATAAAAATATGTAATGCAATATATAAACTACCATATAGTTTAAATTTACATAAAACAAATGAGATAAACTTTAGTATCATTACTATAGGATCCAGAATTTTTATAACTATTGTGCACACTTTTTTACAAAATATAAAGCCCTTCTACTGCTAATTAGTTTAACATATCTGAGCCGCTGCAGTTGATAATTTGCCAGCTTAAGTTATGTGTTACAACGGTGACTATAGTACAATATTTAGTCGGTAATTTAATAGGTTTCCATATTATATCTAATAAATAAGTAAACCTGCCCAAGCTTTGCATGTGTAAATAAATATTGACTATGACTTACATTAAAAATTCACTATTTCGATGTCAACGTAGATTCTCTATTTTATCTCCTTAGAGATAGAAATCTTTTTTTTACATCCTCACTTTAAGTTTTACATATTTTTTTATGAATTTTGTATATTTTTAACAACCGGACCGTTGTAAGGATGTTTCGTAAAGTCATTGAGTTATTGTAATATAAGATAGTTCATATAAGCATGTATTACAATAAAGACTTCATTAAAAATACGTCTGGACAATACATTAATATAATGAAATATGATATTTACCTCAAGTTCAGCTAACGCACGCGGTAGAACAATTTCTTCGAGTTCAGGTATGGGGAAACCAACAACGATAGGTTCATTTTCTTTTCCAATAAAATTTGGACTATTGTCATTAATATCATTTACTATCAAGTTCACAAAGCTTCGCCTTGAATTGTATGATATTGTGTTTGTCAATACCCAGGTACCGTAATCGTCAGGATTCAAAGATTTAGATTTCGATTCAAAATCTAAAGATCTTTTGACACGGGGTGTATCGCCTTCGCATTCTAATACTAGTTCAACTTGAACTTGTGACAGGGTCATGAAAGCAATAGACTCATGTTCTCTATCGATGGCTCGTGTATGCAGGCCGGTTTCGTCAACATATAACCAGTTTTGATCGACAGGCCAACGATTTGTAAGTCTGTATTTGCAAACAGAATGCTCCGTGGTATTGAGCACAACCAAGTTTTTATGTTCTTGTTCTTCATCTCTATCTATGACAATAAGAGGATATACTGCTTTGTCATCCCCGCATACTATAACTGAATCTACAGTAAAATATACCTAAAAATAAATATAATTTATTTAATTACACATATTTAAGGTAGGATACTATGGTCATAATTATGCACAACACCTTACAAGTACTTCTTTGTTTGTAGAAAAAAAAACAAACAAAGGCAGATTGCAAAAGATAACGGTTGAAGGTTAATAATAAAGTGTGAATATAATGAGATTATGACATACCGAGGCGGCGCCGGTAGCTTGTGTGAAGACAGTAGTGGCGATCACTTGGAACCTGTAAACTCCACTGTCGGCCTGTGAAGATAAGTACAATTCTCCATTGTTGTTTATCGAAAGACGTGTTTGGAGGTGTTCTGAAAAAAAAAATGTATTAATTGTGTAATAATCCAGACTATTGTTTGGCTCACTAATTTATTGGGAAATTGAGTATATAGCTTGCATATGACGAATGACTTCATATTCATAAATGGATGCTACTTTTTGATAATGTTTGGAATGAAAGCAATCTTTGGTCTATGTTTTACCACCAGGACTGGTATATACTTTAAGTTATAGACCTTAATCATGCTGACACAACAAAATTGTTGAAAATGTATATTTTAGTTTAGACTAACTCAAGTAGGTATTGGTAGGCTCCCTACTACAACCATTCAAATAGTTCTAACGAAATCAAAGTTGTTTGGCTCAGCTTTGACAATACTACTTGTAAATGATTAATAAAAAATTATAACTGTCAGATTATATGGGTACTCTTCGTAGCAGATAAAGACATTGAAAACCATCAAACCAAAAAAATAGCTCAATTATTTAATAAGTATGCTTTTAGTAAAAAGAATTGTAAATAATATGTCATAATATATATTTTTGTCATTATACAAAAACTAAAATAATGGTTACTCAGCCATTACAAAAATACAGTAATAAAACTTCTACTACACGTATTTGCTTTTATGGAAGTGTAGGCGTCAGACTCTAGGGCATTATAATTTACATTAAATACATGACACTCACACTGTGTCATGTATTTAATGTAAATTATATGATATGATCTAAAAAAAAAGATTATTATTATTACATAATATATTCTTATACAAGCTATCAACACTCAGCAAAGAAGTTACAAATTTAATAAACGTTAAATGTATTTATTGTATTTTCATTTTTGTAATTGAAAACGAAATAAATTATTGATAAGCCATATTTTGTATTTGTAAATAATAATGTTTACAAATATAAAATATCTTTTATAAAGTAGGCCACTGGTTTAGGGAGTCTAATCTCAATATTGATTTCAATCATGTTATGCACAGTTATTTGAAAAGTATCTAGTTGATATTAAACTGAATAACCCGATAAAAATATCGATTACTTCTTTGAATATGCACGAAATATAGAATTAATACGTTGCCAAAAACAATGCAATTCAATGCATTTGGTTCAATATTAGTTTCTAGATAACAAGTAAAACATATTTTGTACTTAGCGAAGAATTACTGTACTTGAAATTCTAAAAGTCGCTGGAATTCTTTGGGTTTGTTATTGCCATTGAGATAAGGTTGATACTCACCGTTAAGGTCTTGAAGCGAATATTTAATATCTTCTCCATTGTCGGCGGTAGCGTCCACACTTCCAATGAATCCACTTTGAGAAATGTCTACTCGTATCTCATACGAGGTAGAAGTAAATGTCACAGAAGGTGGTACATGCGTTTCTAGAAAAGATATATTTATTAAACAAATTTGTTTCCATAGAATGTTTTATTTGTTGTAAATGTAAGAAAAGTAATTTTATTTTTCTTACATACCTTCTTGAACTTCAAGTATGAGTACAGCACCAGCGCTACCAGCTCGCAATTCTAATGGTATGTAGACAACATTAGTAGGTATTATCGCAGAACTCACAGTTTGTATTGACACCACACCATTTGATAACTCGGCCACGAATATTGATGAATACACTGTAAATACGTTATTAAAATATAAGCATACATATGCTATGTTTATTTTAGACTTAAACTATGAACAAACTTAAAATAGGTTGATTAGTAGATTACAAGTTTAAATAAATGTAAAAAATCAACGTATTCTTAAATATATAAGTACAATCAATGTTTTTTTTCTTTTAATTTTATATCCAGTGCAAATATTAAAAAAATACAAATTGATACATTTAAAACTAATTTGTCATGGGAATTCTGACAATTATTTGCTAAAATTTTCAGTTTCATTTAGTTATTATAAATTAATCATTTACCTCCAATTATTTCGACGTTCGTGCCACTGTAACCCGATAATGTAATGGTATCATGATGAACGTTAGGCCCGTGTAAAACTCCTTCAAAAACAATGTTACTGAAAGATGCATCATCATCGGAATCTGTAATGCCAATCATTTCTAATAAAGTAACGATTTACTTATGAGTACAGTCGTCTCAAAAGTGGTTACAAAACAGCTTTGAATTACGGATCATATTAGGATTATATCTATACATAAGATTACTTAATTTTATTAAACCACTCGCTATGAGTATATACTACATGATATTAATGCACTTACGCATTTTCAGTTGATTATATGAAATAAATCCTTTTAGAATTCGTAAGAAAACAGCCTTTATTATACCCCAAGATAATACTTATAGCAGTAGAAAACAACTCATAGATTACTTATCATTTAAAATAAACGAAATCCACAATTCCATCATTTAATATTGGGAAAGTAATAATAAAAACAAAGTAATTCTATTTGCTGAGGTAGGTACAATTTAACCAATGTATGAATGGGCTAGAATTTATGACGTATGGACGGATGACAATGAAAGAGCATTCTTATATCTGTAATATACACATATGTATAGTTACTATTACCAAAATGTATTTTAAAAAGAAAATATTCAGTTATTCAAAAGTTGCAATTTAGTCATTAGAGAAAGTAGGTATTTGGAAATTCAACTCAATTCATCACCGACTGGTAGACCTGTAAGGAAGTACAAAATTATTTAATAAGATCCTTAATAAAATATTTATTTGAATTATATTGCGGAACATATATGTGGTCCTTCCACATATATGCATTTTATTTTTATTATAGTTTTATTTAAAAAAAAATGGAAGGAGTTGACAGAACGATGTAAGAACGATTTTAAGACCTAAATAAATAATTAAATATTATAAGACTTTTCTTCAAGTCTCACTCGCGATAATGCCACATATATATAATATAAGAATTAATATTAAATATATGAATGACATAAATTTTATAGAATAAACTAACTTAAAATCTTTTTCTTTTATTTAATGATCGCCGTCGGCCGAGTTCACTAAAATAAGGAGATTGAAAACGTGATCACAGGACATAGTCGCGGGCATCAGCCACTAATTAATATGTGTGGTTATTTTTTCTATATACATACGTAATATTTAGGAGATTAGGTATCATTAAACAGTCTATTAAGTTCTAAAATTTTCTAAATTATTTTAAAATACTGATTTATAAATCAAGATTTGAAAATGTTTTTAAAGAAACTATTTTATTTATTTTTCGTCTGACTATACTTTCGACTTTTTCAACCGATGACAACAAATTAGGTTTCTTTTATCAGATGTAAACTGTATGATTTAATTACAAGAGGAGGCTCCGATTGGTCACCTGCAAAACCCTAAGTTTTATTCGAACAGGTGTCACATATACGACAAAGTGAACGTGAACTGAGGTTTAAACTGCTACCACTGCCGTGAGACTACAGTTGTATCCAATAGTCTTTTTCTAAATTATTTTGCTGGTTTTTAGTGCCTTCTACAAGCGACCAACTATTCCGTACGTCCAACCGAGTTAAAAAACCAAAATATTGACGGAATTGACCGACTGCACTATGTATAGGTTCTTATAGTTCTTACGAATTAATAATTAATTAATCAGCTACTACATACATACGAAGTCCGAACGGGTTGCTAATAAATTATAGCAAACGTAATCCTTATCATTACTAATATTATAAATGCGAAAGTAACTCTGTCTGTCTGTCTGTCTCACTTTCACGCCAAAACTACTGAACCGATTTAAATGAAATTTAGTACGCAGATAGTCTAGACGCCGAGGAAGGACATAGGCTACTTTTTAATGCGAAAAAAGGCTTACAAGGGGTTCAAAATGGAAATACAAGGTTATCTTTATGCGGTTGAATACATCGCACACTTATTCGTCATCTTTTCAATTCACTAGCTAACAACCAATCAACACTTCGCGTGCGTTCGCGCCATTCGCCATCTTTTCATTTCACTAGCTAACAACCAATCAACACATCGCGTGCGTTTTGCGCCAATAAGGTATCCATCACAGAGAACAAAACCACAGATAACATTATGTAAAACGAAAGACCTTGCCGGAAACATGACGTTGACGTTTAGCGAAAATATTGTTTTTGACACTTTTTTATGATAAAATCGTATATCGTGTGTATGTGTTTTTTCTTTAAACCTGAAATTGGCCGATTGCGAGACAAATTTAGCAATTTTTTTATTAATTGTTTTATTTTAGCCCGACTTACAGTAATATATATGTAATAAATTACAAAAATTAAAGTCAATGTCCAATGTCAAATAATAATAAATGTTAAATGTTGTTTCTCTGTTCTGACGAACTTATTAAAAAAAAAAACTTAATAACAATCACAATTTTTTCACATTTTTTAAATAATGTTGTGGTGTGGCACTATTCGAAATTAAATTATTTACCAATTTTTGTAGATTATACAGAAATAATGTGTGGGTGCTTATTTAAAAAGCATTAACACAAAATTAATAAAGTATAGGTATTAATAAATATATGGTTGTTGTATCAAAATACAATTTTCTTATTTTTCACTAAAATAAAAACTAACTGCCTTTTTTTATCAAATAAATGACCTTTTCATTGTGTCACATATTATGAAACTATTTAAATTATTTAGCTGATTGTACGAAACAAAATGTTGGTTTGTAGATTAATACTGTAAAATTACTAGTTGTACGGAAACGATAAAAATATATTTTTGTGCTGCGACAAAAATCCTTACTAATATTATAAATGCGAAAGTAACTCTGTCTCTGTCTGTCTGTGTCTGTCTCGCTTTCACGCCAAAACTACTGAACCGATTTGAATGAAATTTGGTATACAGATAGTCTAAACCCTGAGAACGGACATAGGCTACTTTTTAATGCGAATAATGGGTTGTAAGGGGTTAAAAGGGGGGATGAAAGATTGTATGGAAAAATCGTCATTTTTTAAGCTAGAAGCTTGAAACTTATATTTGAGGCTGTTGATTAAATATAAATAAAAATGACATTCAATGTTTGTAAAAAAAATACCCTTAACTAAAATAGGGGATGATAGGTATTATGTAAATTCGTAATTTTTGAAACTAGAACGATGAAACTATTTTCATTGGTTCTTTTGGGGTAGATTTTTAAATACCCCACTAATGTTATAACTGTGAAAGTAACTCTGTTTGTCTTTCTGTCAGTCTTACGCTCCAAAACAAAACAAAAATTTAAATGAAATTTGGTACACAGTTAGTTTACACCCGGACAAAGAATATAGGGTACTTTTGAATGTGAAAAAAGGATTGTAAGAGGGTTGCAATGGTACGCTGTATGGAAGAATTGTCATTTTTACATTTATTGTGGAAATTTGTTGTTTGTGTGGTTGTGGAAGCTAGAACGATTAAACTTTTTTCTTTGTCTTTTTAGAGTTAGTTTATTAAATACCTTACTGATATTATAAATGTGTAAACTAACTTTGTCTGTCTCGCTTACACGCCAAAAATAATGAACCGATTTAAATTGAAATTTGAAACAGACATTGACTAGATCCCGAGAAAGGACATAGGTTACTTGTTACTTTTTAATGTGAAAAAGGGTTGCAAGAGGATTGAAAGGGTAGATGCAAGGTTATATAGATGTATCGTCATGTTTAAAGCTAGAAGCTTGAAATTTATTTTTAGCCTATTGAAATTTTTGAATTATAATTTATTTTTTATCATTTTTGAAGCTACAACGATGAAACTTATTTATTTGACTTATATTATGTTCAGTTAAACATTTTTTCATTATTTACGCGGACGAAGTCGCGGGTACAGCTAGTAAATAATATATATAGCAAACGCAGTAATAATAAAACATATCAGAATACTTTACCACATACCATAAAATAACATATATGTAAGGCGAGCGTACTTCAGTAGATACTCGGTCAGACTGAAGTCGAAATGATCGAAATATTCGTGTGTAATAGACAGTAATGGTTATGTAATTATGAATATGAATGAAAATATTTAAAATACTTCAAGTACCATTGAGCAATGAGATTACGATTGTCGAACGTGCAGTTGTACTTCCGGGTTTCTGAGCAGTAATTATGAATAGCAGCTGGTTGTTATTGTTCAAAATCGCAGGTGGTATTGGTTGAATCAAATTCAACGTGACGGAATTCCCGTCTTGAACTATGGTGAAATATTGTGAATCATCTGGAAAATAGAGACAAGTTGATATTTTTTTAATCTGTTTTCAGAAATCTCAACTTTTCTAATATACTATCGCCGTACCACATACCTCCTTCGAGATCGAATTCAACGCTATCGTCGAAGCCTTCCGATATAGATATGACATTTTCGAATACAAAACCAGGGACGACGCCATAAGATCCGACGTAGTAAGTTTGCGCGAAGACGAGTTCGCTGACTGTGGACTCGTTGTCTGATACGACTTCAAGTACTATCGTTGCCACTGCTGGCACGGCATCATCTACAGAAGCGCGTAGATCGAGTATTATGATCTGGTTGGGAGGTATCAATTGCTCAGGTATGACATCGACCAGTTCTATCGTAACCGTTGGGCCATCGTTCACAACCGAGAAGTGCTCTTGTAGTGCTGAAAATAAAATTAAACAAGACGTTACACTTTTCACGAAGTGCGTAAAGAAGATGAATCGTGTTTGAATAAACTTCATGTAAAATGGCGACTAACCTCCAAGTAAGGTAAACTGGACCTGTTCGGTGTATCCATCCCTCAGTGTAACAGGTATTAAGGTGATAGTATCGCTTTCGATGGAGCCCACATAATTATTCCGGTCGAATGCGAGCAAGCTCTCGTTATCGAACTCTGTAATGAAACGTCGATTATTCTACAAAAAAGTAAATAAAACTAATTTCTGTGAACACTTGACACTAGCTAAATAAGGAATATCGCTGTCGACTTCCGGTATATTATTGCACATGAGCCTATTAAGCAACATCGTCAGTGAAAGTGACTGCATGGGGGGGGGGGGAGGGTGGGGTGTGGGGGGGACAGGGAAGCTCGACACGAGATCATGGTCTGTACTGTGAACGAAGGCCACAATTGCAATTCGAGAAGGGGACGGTGCAATCAACTGTATGTACCATAAAATAACATATATGTAAGGCGAGCGTACTTCAGTAGATACTCGGTCAGACTGAAGTCGAAATGATCGAAATATTCGTGTGTAATAGACAGTAAGGGTTATGTAATTATGAATATGAATGAAAATATTTAAAATACTTCAAGTACCATTGAGCAATGAGATTACGATTGTCGACCGTGCAGTTGTACTTCCGGATTTCTGAGCAGTAATTATGAATAGCAGCTGGTTGTTATTGTCCAAAATCGCAGGTGGTATTGAATGAATCAAATCCAACGTGACGGAATTCCCGTCTTGAACTATGGTGAAATATTGTGAATCATCTGGAAAATAGAGACAAGTTGATATTTTTTTAATCTGTTTTCAGAAATCTCAACTTTTCTAATATACTATCGCCGTACCACATACCTCCTTCGAGATCGAATTTAACGCTATCGTCGAAGCCTTCCGATATCGATATGACATTTTCGAATACAAAACCAGGGACGACGCCATAAGATCCGACGTAGTAAGTTTGCGCGAAGACGAGTTCGCTGACTGTGGACTCGTTGTCTGATACGACTTCAAGTACTATCGTTGCCACTGCTGGCACGGCATCATCTACAGAAGCGCGTAGATCGAGTATTATGATTTGGTTGGGAGGTATCAATTGCTCAGGTATGACTTCGACCAGTTCTATCGTAACCGTTGGGCCATCGTTCACAACCGAGAAGTGCTCTTGTAGTGCTGAAAATAAAATTAAACAAGACGTTACACTTTTCACGAAGTGAGTAAAGAAGATGAATCGTGTTTGAATAAACTTCATGTAAAATGGCGACTAACCTCCAAGTAAGGTAAACTGGACCTGTTCGGTGTATCCATCCCTCAGTGTAATAGGTATTAAGGTGATAGAATCGCTTTCGATGGAGCCCACATAATTATTCCGGTCGAATGCGAGCAAGCTCTCGTTATCGAACTCTGTAATGAAACGTCGATTATTCTACGAAAAAGTAAATAAAACTAATTTCTGTGAACACTTGACACTAGCTAAATAAGGAATATCGCTGTCGACTTCCGGTATATTATTGCACATGAGCCTATTAAGCAACATCGTCAGTGAAAGTGACTGCATGGAGGGGGGGGGGGGGGGGGGGGGGGGGGGTTGAGGGTATGGGGGGGGGGACAGGGAAGCTCGACACGAGATCATGGTCTGTACTGTGAACGAAGGCCACAATTGCAATTCGAGAAGGGGACGGTGCAATCAACTGCATGTACCATAAAATAACATATATGTAAGGCGAGCGTACTTCAGTAGATACTCGGTCAGACTGAAGTCGAAATGATCGAAATATTCGTGTGTAATAGACAGTAAGGGTTATGTAATTATGAATATGAATGAAAATATTTAAAATACTTCAAGTACCATTGAGCAATGAGATTACGATTGTCGACCGTGCAGTTGTACTTCCGGATTTCTGAGCAGTAATTATGAATAGCAGCTGGTTGTTATTGTTCAAAATCGCAGGTGGTATTGGATGAATCAAATCCAACGTGACGGAATTCCCGTCTTGAACTATGGTGAAATATTGTGAATCATCTGGAAAATAGAGACAAGTTGATATTTTTTTAATCTGTTTTCAGAAATCTCAACTTTTCTAATATACTATCGCCGTACCACATACCTCCTTCGAGATCGAATTTAACGCTATCGTCGAAGCCTTCCGATATAGATATGACATTTTCGAATACAAAACCAGGGACGACGCCATAAGATCCGACGTAGTAAGTTTGCGCGAAGACGAGTTCGCTGACTGTGGACTCGTTGTCTGATACGACTTCAAGTACTATCGTTGCCACTGCTGGCACGGCATCATCTACAGAAGCGCGTAGATCGAGTATTATGATCTGGTTGGGAGGTATCAATTGCTCAGGTATGACATCGACCAGTTCTATCGTAACCGTTGGGCCATCGTTCACAACCGAGAAGTGCTCTTGTAGTGCTGAAAATAAAATTAAACAAGACGTTACACTTTTCACGAAGTGCGTAAAGAAGACGAATCGTGTTTGAATAAACTTCATGTAAAATGGCGACTAACCTCCAAGTAAGGTAAACTGGACCTGTTCGGTGTATCCATCCCTCAGTGTAATAGGTATTAAGGTGATAGTATCGCTTTCGATGGAGCCCACATAATTATTCCGGTCGAATGCGAGCAAGCTCTCGTTATCGAACTCTGTAATGAAACGTCGATTATTCTACGAAAAAGTAAATAAAACTAATTTCTGCGAACACTTGACATTAGCTAAATAAGGAATATCGCTGTCGATTTCGGGTACATTATTGCACATGAGCCTATTAAGCAACATCGTCAGTGAAAGTGACTGCATGGGGGGGTGGGGGGGGGTGAGGGTGTGTGTGGGGGGAGGGGACAGGGAAGCTCGACACGAGATCATGGTCTGTACTGTGAACGAAGGCCACAATTGCAATTCGAGAAGGGGACGGTGCAATCAACTGTATGTACCATAAAATAGCATATATATAAGGCGAGCGTACTTCAGTAGATACTCGGTCAGACTGAAGTCGAAATGATCGAAATATTCGTGTGTAATAGACAGTAAGGGTTATGTAATTATGAATATGAATGAAAATATTTAAAATACTTCAAGTACCATTGAGCAATGAGATTACGATTGTCGACCGTGCAGTTGTACTTCCGGATTTCTGAGCAGTAATTATGAATAGCAGCTGGTTGTTATTGTTCAAAATCGCAGGTGGTATTGGATGAATCAAATCCAACGTGACGGAATTCCCGTCTTGAACTATGGTGAAATATTGTGAATCATCTGGAAAATAGAGACAAGTTGATATTTTTTTAATCTGTTTTCAGAAATCTCAACTTTTCTAATATACTATCGCCGTACCACATACCTCCTTCGAGATCGAATTCAACGCTATCGTCGAAGCCTTCCGATATAGATATGACATTTTCGAATACAAAACCAGGGACGACGCCATAAGATCCGACGTAGTAAGTTTGCGTGAAGACGAGTTCGCTGACTGTGGACTCGTTGTCTGATACGACTTCAAGTACTATCGTTGCCACTGCTGGCACGGCATCATCTACAGAAGCGCGTAGATCGAGTATTATGATCTGGTTGGGAGGTATCAATTGCTCAGGTATGACATCGACCAGTTCTATCGTAACCGTTGGGCCATCGTTCACAACCGAGAAGTGCTCTTGTAGTGCTGAAAATAAAATTAAACAGGACGTTACACTTTTCACGAAGTGCGTAAAGAAGATGAATCGTGTTTGAATAAACTTCATGTAAAATGGCGACTAACCTCCAAGTAAGGTAAACTGGACCTGTTCGGTGTATCCATCCCTCAGTGTAATAGGTATTAAGGTGATAGTATCGCTTTCGATGGAGCCCACATAATTATTCCGGTCGAATGCGAGCAAGCTCTCGTTATCGAACTCTGTAATGAAACGTCGATTATTCTACGAAAAAGTAAATAAAACTAATTTCTGTGAACACTTGACACTAGCTAAATAAGGAATATCGCTGTCGACTTCCGGTATATTATTGCACATGAGCCTATTAAGCAACATCGTCAGTGAAAGTGACTGCATGGGGGGGGGGGACAGGGAAGCTCGACACGAGATCATGGTCTGTACTGTGAACGAAGGCCACAATTGCAATTCGAGAAGGGGACGGTGCAATCAACTGTATGTACCATAAAATAACATATATGTAAGGCGAGCGTACTTCAGTAAATACTCGGTCAGACTGAAGTCGAAATGATCGAAATATTCGTGTGTAATAGACAGTAAGGGTTATGTAATTATGAATATGAATGAAAATATTTAAAATACTTCAAGTACCATTGAGCAATGAGATTACGATTGTCGACCGTGCAGTTGTACTTCCGGATTTCTGAGCAGTAATTATGAATAGCAGCTGGTTGTTATTGTTCAAAATCGCAGGTGGTATTGGATGAATCAAATCCAACGTGACGGAATTCCCGTCTTGAACTATGGTGAAATATTGTGAATCATCTGGAAAATAGAGACAAGTTGATATTTTTTTAATCTGTTTTCAGAAATCTCAACTTTTCTAATATACTATCGCCGTACCACATACCTCCTTCGAGATCGAATTTAACGCTATCGTCGAAGCCTTCCGATATAGATATGACATTTTCGAATACAAAACCAGGGACGACGCCATAAGATCCGACGTAGTAAGTTTGCGCGAAGACGAGTTCGCTGACTGTGGACTCGTTGTCTGATACGACTTCAAGTACTATCGTTGCCACTGCTGGCACGGCATCATCTACAGAAGCGCGTAGATCGAGTATTATGATCTGGTTGGGAGGTATCAATTGCTCAGGTATGACATCGACCAGTTCTATCGTAACCGTTGGGCCATCGTTCACAACCGAGAAGTGCTCTTGTAGTGCTGAAAATAAAATTAAACAAGACGTTACACTTTTCACGAAGTGCGTAAAGAAGATGAATCGTGTTTGAATAAACTTCATGTAAAATGGCGACTAACCTCCAAGTAAGGTAAACTGGACCTGTTCGGTGTATCCATCCCTCAGTGTAATAGGTATTAAGGTGATAGTATCGCTTTCGATGGAGCCCACATAATTATTCCGGTCGAATGCGAGCAAGCTCTCGTTATCGAACTCTGTAATGAAACGTCGATTATTCTACGAAAAAGTAAATAAAACTAATTTCTGCGAACACTTGACATTAGTTAAATAAAGAATATCGCTGTCGACTTCGGGTATATTATTGCACATGAGCCTATTAAGCAGCATCGTCAGTGAAAGTGACTGCATGGGGGGGGTGAGGGTGTGTGTGTGGGGAGGGGGGGGGGGACCAGGGAAGCTCGACACGAGATCATGGTCTGTACTGTGAACGAAGGCCACAATTGCAATTCGAGAAGGGGACGGTGCAATCAACTGTATGTACCATAAAATAGCATATATATAAGGCGAGCGTACTTCAGTAGATACTCGGTCAGACTGAAGTCGAAATGATCGAAATATTCGTGTGTAATAGACAGTAAGGGTTATGTAATTATGAATATGAATGAAAATATTTAAAATACTTCAAGTACCATTGAGCAATGAGATTACGATTGTCGACCGTGCAGTTGTACTTCCGGATTTCTGAGCAGTAATTATGAATAGCAGCTGGTTGTTATTGTTCAAAATCGCAGGTGGTATTGGATGAATCAAATCCAACGTGACGGAATTCCCGTCTTGAACTATGGTGAAATATTGTGAATCATCTGGAAAATAGAGACAAGTTGATATTTTTTTAATCTGTTTTCAGAAATCTCAACTTTTCTAATATACTATCGCCGTACCACATACCTCCTTCGAGATCGAATTCAACGCTATCGTCGAAGCCTTCCGATATAGATATGACATTTTCGAATACAAAACCAGGGACGACGCCATAAGATCCGACGTAGTAAGTTTGCGCGAAGACGAGTTCGCTGACTGTGGACTCGTTGTCTGATACGACTTCAAGTACTATCGTTGCCACTGCTGGCACGGCATCATCTACAGAAGCGCGTAGATCGAGTATTATGATCTGGTTGGGAGGTATCAATTGCTCAGGTATGACATCGACCAGTTCTATCGTAACCGTTGGGCCATCGTTCACAACCGAGAAGTGCTCTTGTAGTGCTGAAAATAAAATTAAACAAGACGTTACACTTTTCACGAAGTGAGTAAAGAAGATGAATCGTGTTTGAATAAACTTCATGTAAAATGGCGACTAACCTCCAAGTAAGGTAAACTGGACCTGTTCGGTGTATCCATCCCTCAGTGTAATAGGTATTAAGGTGATAGAATCGCTTTCGATGGAGCCCACATAATTATTCCGGTCGAATGCGAGCAAGCTCTCGTTATCGAACTCTGTAATGAAACGTCGATTATTCTACGAAAAAGTAAATAAAACTAATTTCTGTGAACACTTGACACTAGCTAAATAAGGAATATCGCTGTCGACTTCCGGTATATTATTGCACATGAGCCTATTAAGCAACATCGTCAGTGAAAGTGACTGCATGGAGGGGGGGGGGGGTTGAGGGTATGGGGGGGGGACAGGGAAGCTCGACACGAGATCATGGTCTGTACTGTGAACGAAGGCCACAATTGCAATTCGAGAAGGGGACGGTGCAATCAACTGCATGTACCATAAAATAACATATATGTAAGGCGAGCGTACTTCAGTAGATACTCGGTCAGACTGAAGTCGAAATGATCGAAATATTCGTGTGTAATAGACAGTAAGGGTTATGTAATTATGAATATGAATGAAAATATTTAAAATACTTCAAGTACCATTGAGCAATGAGATTACGATTGTCGACCGTGCAGTTGTACTTCCGGATTTCTGAGCAGTAATTATGAATAGCAGCTGGTTGTTATTGTTCAAAATCGCAGGTGGTATTGGATGAATCAAATCCAACGTGACGGAATTCCCGTCTTGAACTATGGTGAAATATTGTGAATCATCTGGAAAATAGAGACAAGTTGATATTTTTTTAATCTGTTTTCAGAAATCTCAACTTTTCTAATATACTATCGCCGTACCACATACCTCCTTCGAGATCGAATTTAACGCTATCGTCGAAGCCTTCCGATATAGATATGACATTTTCGAATACAAAACCAGGGACGACGCCATAAGATCCGACGTAGTAAGTTTGCGCGAAGACGAGTTCGCTGACTGTGGACTCGTTGTCTGATACGACTTCAAGTACTATCGTTGCCACTGCTGGCACGGCATCATCTACAGAAGCGCGTAGATCGAGTATTATGATCTGGTTGGGAGGTATCAATTGCTCAGGTATGACATCGACCAGTTCTATCGTAACCGTTGGGCCATCGTTCACAACCGAGAAGTGCTCTTGTAGTGCTGAAAATAAAATTAAACAAGACGTTACACTTTTCACGAAGTGCGTAAAGAAGATGAATCGTGTTTGAATAAACTTCATGTAAAATGGCGACTAACCTCCAAGTAAGGTAAACTGGACCTGTTCGGTGTATCCATCCCTCAGTGTAATAGGTATTAAGGTGATAGTATCGCTTTCGATGGAGCCCACATAATTATTCCGGTCGAATGCGAGCAAGCTCTCGTTATCGAACTCTGTAATGAAACGTCGATTATTCTACGAAAAAGTAAATAAAACTAATTTCTGCGAACACTTGACACTAGCTAATTAAGGAATATCTCTGTCGACTTTCGGGTATATTATTGCACATGAGCCTATTAAGCAACATCGTCAGTGAAAGTGACTGCATGGGGGGGGGGGGGTTGAGGGTATGGGGGGGGGGGGGGACAGGGAAGCACGACACGAGATCATGGTCTGTACTGTGAACGAAGGCCACAATTGCAATTCGAGAAGGGGACGGTGCAATCAACTGTATGTACCATAAAATAGCATATATGTAAGGCGAGCGTACTTCAGTAGATACTCGGTCAGACTGAAGTCGAAATGATCGAAATATTCGTGTGTAATAGACAGTAAGGGTTATGTAATTATGAATATGAATGAAAATATTTAAAATACTTCAAGTACCATTGAGCAATGAGATTACGATTGTCGACCGTGCAGTTGTACTTCCGGATTTCTGAGCAGTAATTATGAATAGCAGCTGGTTGTTATTGTTCAAAATCGCAGGTGGTATTGGATGAATCAAATCCAACGTGACGGAATTCCCGTCTTGAACTATGGTGAAATATTGTGAATCATCTGGAAAATAGAGACAAGTTGATATTTTTTTAATCTGTTTTCAGAAATCTAAACTTTTCTAATATACTATCGCCGTACCACATACCTCCTTCGAGATCGAATTCAACGCTATCGTCGAAGCCTTCCGATATAGATATGACATTTTCGAATACAAAACCAGGGACGACGCCATAAGATCCGACGTAGTAAGTTTGCGCGAAGACGAGTTCGCTGACTGTGGACTCGTTGTCTGATACGACTTCAAGTACTATCGTTGCCACTGCTGGCACGGCATCATCTACAGAAGCGCGTAGATCGAGTATTATGATCTGGTTGGGAGGTATCAATTGCTCAGGTATGACATCGACCAGTTCTATCGTAACCGTTGGGCCATAGTTCACAACCGAGAAGTACTCTTGTAGTGCTGAAAATAAATTTAAACAAGACGTTACACTTTTCACGAAGTGCGTAAAGAAGACGAATCGTGTTTGAATAAACTTCATGTAAAATGGCGACTAACCTCCAAGTAAGGTAAACTGGACCTGTTCGGTGTATCCATCCCTCAGTGTAATAGGTGTTAAGGTGATAGTATCGCTTTCGATGGAGCCCACATAATTATTCCGGTCGAATGCGAGCAAGCTCTCGTTATCGAACTCTGTAATGAAACGTCGATTATTCTACGAAAAAGTAAATAAAACTAATTTCTGCGAACACTTGACATTAGCTAAATAAGGAATATCGCTGTCGACTTCGGGTATATTATCGCACATGAGCCTATTAAGCAACATCGACAGTGAAAGTGACTGCATGGGGGGGGGGGGGGGGGAAGCTCGACACGAGATCATGGTCTGTACTGTGAACGAAGGCCACAATTGCAATTCGAGAAGGGGACGGTGCAATCAACTGTATGTATCATAAAATAACATATATGTAAGGCGAGCGTACTTCAGTAGATACTCGGTCAGACTGAAGTCAAAATGATCGAAATATTTGTGTGTAATAGATAGTACGGGTTATGTAACTATGAATATGAATGAAAATATTAAACTACTTCAAGCACCATTGAGCAATGAGATTACGATTGTCGAACGTGCAGTTGTACTTCCGGGTTTCTGAGCAGTAATTATGAATAGCAGCTGGTTCTTATTGTTCAAAATCGCAGGTGGTATTGGTTGAATCAAATTCAACGTGACGGAATTCCCGTCTTGAACTGTGGTGAAATATTGTGAATCATCTGGAAAATAGAGACAAGTTGATATTTTTTTAATCTGTTTTCAGAAATCTAAACTTTTCTAATATACTATCGCCGTACCACATACCTCCTTCGAGATCGAATTCAACGCTATCGTCGAAGCCTTCCGATATAGATATGACATTTTCGAATACAAAACCAGGGACGACGCCATAAGATCCGACGTAGTAAGTTTGCGCGAAGACGAGTTCACTGACTGTGGACTCGTTGTCTGATACGACTTCAAGTACTATCGTTGCCACTGCTGGCACGGCATCATCTACAGAAGCGCGTAGATCGAGTATTATGATTTGGTTGGGAGGTATCAATTGCTCAGGTATGACTTCGACCAGTTCTATCGTAACCGTTGGGCCATCGTTCACAACCGAGAAGTGCTCTTGTAGTGCTGAAAATAAAATTAAACAAGACGTTACACTTTTCACGAAGTGCGTAAAGAAGATGAATCGTGTTTGAATAAACTTCATGTAAAATGGCGACTAACCTCCAAGTAAGGTAAACTGGACCTGTTCTGTGTATCCATCCCTCAGTGTAATAGGTGTTAAGGTGATAGTATCGTTTTCGATATAACCGATATAATTGTGTTGATCAAATGCAAGCAGATTGTTATTATCAACATCTGTAAAGTGATATTATATTTAGAAAATTATTTATCTATTTTAAAGTGTTTTGTTAAAAAAATACAACTGATGTTGTATTGCAAGTATTGCAATTCAAATAGGCAGAAGTACCAAACCTTTTAAGTTGTACGTTGGAGACAACAAATGCGTGTTAGAGTTTTATGTCTATAGGTACATATGTGAATATATGTACCTCTTTTAGTAAATTTAACTAGACACATATATTGATTTATTGCAAATGTAGTGGGTTAAACATATGTATTAAACCTTTTTTAATTTTGATTTGTCTTATTAATAGGTCGTTTTATTTATTTTTATTCCAGGTCGGCAAGAGACAGCTTTGGTGATAATGGTGATGATGTTTATACGGTAAAATGTAGAATCACGCGCGAACACCTCGTACGTTATCGTTACAGTTTACAATGAAAAGGACCAAGAAGTTTTAAACGTAACTTGCGAAGATTGTGCCGCCAACAGAGGCTGTAAACGTACTATAGCATTTTCAATGTGGCTACATCGTCGAAGAGAGGGCTCAACGACTGTAATCGAATTTGTTGGATTTTTTTTGTGGTTATAATAATGTTAGGGAAAATACTCTCCGCTACCAAAATGTTAGGGAAAGTACTATGTATATATATATAGGGAAAAATATGTGGAAGCGTCTGTCGCGTACCTGTATGGTTCTGCGGATTTCTTGGGCTTCAGGGTCTCGAAGATATCTTCGTTAGCTTTCCAGTTTCACAATAGGTTTCACAGTAGGTTTAACACAGTTCTAATTTATTTTAATTCACAACACAATGCGCGCGCGTCATGGCCGCCGTACAGTCAGTTCAGTACTAGGTAAGGAAGGGGAAGGCAAAGCGCGGGAACAGAAACTAACGGGCTCTAATATAATAATCTGTGCTTACGATGGTATAGGGTAGATTTTGAACATAGCCCCCGCTCTAAACAGCTATGATGTTTACGGAATAAATTATCAAAATTAAGGGAAAAATTACAAGGTAAAGGGGCTATACAATATATTACTCAAAAGGGAGGCGTACCAGTTTTGTAAGAGAACGTTTTAAGGAACCAGTAGAGGTTTTGACCTCGACTACTCGAATTACACCGTATTGACCAGGAAATAACTGTACTATACGTCCGCGGCGCCACTCCAAAGGAGGGAGGTTGTCATCCTTTATCAAAACCAATTCATCAACATTAGGAGGATTCATAGGAGAAGTCCACTTATTACGAGTTTAAAGGGTTGATAGGTACTCTGAATGCCACCGCGACCAAAAATTTGAGTAATTTGTTGCAATAAGTGAAAGCGTGAAATGCGATGCTGCTTCTCGTCTCTTAATGGGTACTCGGGTAACGTATTAAGGGGTTGACCAATGAGAAAGTGACCAGGGGTTAACACTTCAAGATCATTGGGATCCTGAGATAAGGAACACAAAGGCCGACAGTTAAGTACAGACTCAATTCTTGCAAATACAGTGGTCAATTCCTCAAAGGTAAGGGGATTTTCACCGATTACTCGTTTAAGGTGCGTCTTGGCAGACTTAACGGCTGCTTCAAACAATCCTCCCCAGTAAGGACAGGCTGGTGGGTCAAATACCCAATTTATATTCTTGGGGGCTAGTTTTGAAGCAAGGTCATCATGCTTTTGGGACAGGAATGAATCAAGCTCTCTAATATAGTTACTCGCTCCATCGCTCGCTCGTCCATAATCCGAACGTATAAGGGTAGGTAATCCGCGACGCGCAACAAATCGGGTAAAGGTAGATAGGAAAGATTCAGTCGTAAGGTCGGATACTACTTCTAAATGTACCGCTTTAGTTGACAGGCAAACAAATACACACAGATAACTCTTTACTATTTTCTTATTTCGATAGGATTGTACTTTAGTATAGAAAGGGCCCGCAAAGTCAGTGCCAACACGAGAAAATGGTCTAGCCGAAGTAACCCGGTCCCTGGGTAGATCACCCATAGGGGGTTGAGATACGGATGCTTTAAGGCGGTAACAAGAGAAACAATGAAATATTATGTTTTGAATAGCACGTCGGGCCGATAATATCCAGTATTCACGGGAAAGGATAGCATGTAAGGCATTAGGACCAGCATGAGAATTTTCGATATGATAATGGGAAATTATTAATTTAACAAGGGGGCCAGACTTAGGTAAAAGTAATGGGTGACGAGCATCGTATGGGAGTTCAGAATTACATATACGTCCGCCAACTCTGACTAAACCGTTTTTATCTAGGAAACACGACAGCCGTTTTAAAGGGGATTTAATAACATTACCGCATTTTAAGGATTCTATCTCGTTAGAAAATGCATGTAACTGGGTTGCTTTAATAAGCATGTAACGATCACATACTAGGTATGTTGATTGTTCCATAAAAATTAGATAAGTAAATCTCATATCTAATAGATATTAATGACGTGATATTATAGGTACATTGTAAGTGCGTATTAGTAGAATTAAGATTTGTTCGTGGAACGGATACTTAAATAATTACTTCATAAAAAAAACGGCTTCAACTCTCAAACGTGTTTCTAATATTTCGTATTTCGTTCACATGCCACTTGCGGATATTGTAGGGTCCTTATTTTCTAAGTATTGTTTATTTAGGTAACATAAATTAGTATACTTTATTAGACGTGGCGTCACTTAGGTAGAACTCAAGCTGAGAAGATGTCGAGTTAAAACAATAAATTAATAAGTTTATTAGACAGGGCACAACATGGGACAGTGGCTTGCTTAAGATTTGCTTTAAGGGTTGTTAGCAAAAAAATAGTAAAAGTAAGAAGGACAAGGGGCGCGGGGAGGCAATGCGTGTCATGGTGGGATTGAGACACAGAGAAATCAGGACAGTTGGTTTTGGGACGGATAGCGGGGTAGTCGATCTGAAATAGGCAGCGGGTGTCGGAACGAGTAGCGGAACAAGCGGACTAGTCGATCTGAATTAAGGGTTAATTTCCGCGTTCCTTGAGAGACGGCAACGAATAATGAATCCGGGGCGGTGCAACGGTGGCTGAACGAGAGACGTCGACGTCAAAATGTTATTGGTGAGATAGAATAGCTACCACATGACAGGTCGTATAAAACTTTAATTATTATTTAAGTTTATTGTAATTTTATTTTAGTCATAAGGTAGATAATTGGTACACTTTGGAGGGGAGCGTGGTGATGTTAATAATTGTATTATAAATATGGTAATAACTATGATACATAGGATTGGGTTCCATTCATGTATATAGGTGACAAGGGCAAACGAGCTTCGGTAACGGTTGCTGTAACTGTGAGTAGGTTTTAAGTAATGGACAAAACGTTAATTATTATAATATGCTCAGTGTAATCAACAAACTACTAACCGATATTTAAGGAGGAGCGACTGAAATGATGATGATATTTTATTTATTCTGATATAAAACTACACTATTAAATATAATTTAATAGATTTTGTTATTGATTTACTAAATGTACTCATGTCCATATGATTAATATTTAATCATTAAGTACGGCTTAATAACTGATAAATATGTATAATATAATCATTCATTTATATTAAGGGAAATCTTCTCTGACCCCCTAAGAGTTTTATATGATTACTTTAATAGTTTTGAAGGATAATGGGAGCTTTCCTTTCTTTTCTCGAATGCATGTTTGTACACATCCACAAGGTGGAAGTTACAAATAAACTATTATATATTTTCAAACCGAAATACAGCAACTTCCAAAAGTATGTATTGTATGTTTGTATAGTTTTACAAGGCGGTAAAACTTGCAATTATAAGAATAATGTTGAGCAGAAAGACAGTGCTTGCTTTAATTATTGTGATGGATGTTTGTACATTTCCACAAGGTGGAAAATATATTAAAATGGAATATTTAAAAGAACCACGTCCTTAATATGAACCTTGACTGAGCATATTGAAGATAATCACCGGAGTAATAATATTAATTATTAAGGGATAACATTGACTATCTCTTTATGGAACGAGTTGTGAATATATCCTTTCTGGGACTATCAATTTGAATTCTTAACTAATTGGGTTTTTAAGAATAATACAATCATACGAATGTGATACATATTACAAAACGAATTGTAGTTAAACTATAGAATTATTCAAATACTAGATCGCGTAATTTTGTTAACCTCATAATGATTCGAGCATAGATAATTAAATATTTTGTGGTGTGAATATAATATCAGGTGAATATTCAAATATTATATATTTTATTTCTTCTATATAATCGTAAATCAACATTACAACAATAACAAGATTTGTATGGACGTAAAGTAGTTGCTCGAATTTGATGTGGGAATAGCAAGTTCTCTGACCAGCATAGGGCGGTATGTCAGCGCCGATCGG